CTTAAGTGGTCTACCATCTAGGTACTGACCATGCTTCATGTTGCTTAACTTCAATGATCCTATGAGAACTGGTGTTTCAACATGATGTGGCTGTAAGCCAAAAAAGACCATCAAGTATTATCTAATTAATGCAAAATAATTTCTACTTATGAATGAAACAGCAAAAAGAACAACATTGTGTGTGTTTTTTTTTTTGTTTTTTTGTTTTTTTTAAAGAACATTGGAAAATTCACCTTTTTGATTTTGGTTGAATGATGCTTTCAGTTACATTCATTTGTAAAATTTTCTAAACTATTTTTAGATACAAATCTAATGTTTTAAAACAAAATTAATAATAAAATGTTTAAGTGTTCACATTAAAAACATAGACCTAAAAATACAAAAATATTAGCTATATGTATAAATGTTATGCCTCAATAGACAAAGGATTATTTTTAGATGACTAGCTTTAATATACCAAGCTTAGTAGAATTCAAGTCGATGTTCATATAATCACTGTAGTATTAGAATTTAAAATAATCAAGCATGAAATAAAATGAGGATGCTGAATGACTAAAGAAAGGACCAATCACTGCCTCTGTAGGGGTCACATGACCATGGCTATATAAGTACCAAATGCAAAGATCCAGGCTTGATTTTTCTTCCACCACAAGTGAGGAAATTGTCTAATATTCACTACTATATACAAGGACTTATGTTATATATGTTGCTTTTTTCTAATAAAATTTTTCTGTTTCTTAATGCTATTCCAGCGTACCTTTAGATTTCAGTGCCACATTTTCCTTCCTTTGTTAAAAACTTCTCAGATATTTAAATGTTCATACTTGCTTTATTTTGACATCTCCAATTTGAAGCTTTTGTTCTCTAATTCATTTTATTGTTAAATTTTATTGGATAGTATGCATTATTTTTATTTATTTATTTTAGATTCTATTGCAAGCCAGATAATGTAATTTTGACTGTTTTCAGCACTGAAAATAATCAAGCTGTTGGTATAGCCAATTATTGAAAATAGAATTAAGCAAGACTTTTTATCTTTTTGCAGGTGGTGGTTTGGTATATTTTGTTAAAATCTTTCTCATCTTCCTACCCATTTCTGAACTAATCGTTTTTTTTTATTTACGGAGGTTAAACTAATTTTTGAAATATGATAAATTATCTTTATTTTGAAGAAGATTGCTTCACATACATGTGATAAATAGACAAGCAGAAAACAGTTTTTTTTTTTTTTATAAAATCTTTCAATGTTTTATAATAAAGATGAAAGTTTTTAACTTGTCTACAAGTGTAAGATGCATTGTTTTTTATGGGCAGGATTTGGAATTTAAGATATTAAGTATTGCACTTGAGAACAATCATGTAGTACAATGATTAATTAGTATGTCTCACAAACCATTGTTAGTGAGTTTCATCCTCCTTGTACTAACCTTAGTTTCTTTGTATTTTAACATCATCAAATTTCAAAACTTTTATTGGAATCAAAACTGCCAATTCTAAATTAAAATTGGCAAATATATCTGTCCATCTCTCTCACACACACACATACATATATATATATATATATATATATATATATATATATACATACACACATCAAGAAGGAAAAACTTAACACCTCATCGAAAAGTTCAGTGAGAAATTTATTTCAACAGATAAATTTTTTAATATCTGCCACATCAGGCCGAAATTACAAAATGGTTTAAATTTATCCAGAATTATTTTCAAATTAAATCACAAGAGAAAAAAAAAGTAAAAAATTACTTGACCCAGAAAAATTTCCCTGGTGATTTACATTATTGAAGAGAAAGGAGTGTGGGAAAAAAAAAGGAGAAGCAAGTGTCGGCACAATGAGCAGAGATAGGTGGGGGATAGTGACAGCTAGTGAAATACATTGAAATTGCATCAAAATTTATATCGTCATCATATATATAAAAAAGAGTGAAAAAATAAATAATATATAAACAATCTTAAATTCGTTATATCTAATTCATCTTCATAATTATAAAATACATTATATATATATATGTGTGGTATATACATATAAAAACATATACAAACATACACATCCATACAAATACACAAGTAAACACATATATACAATGCATACACACACACACACACACACACATACATACATACATACCCACACATTATTTATTATATATATATATATATATATATATATATATATATATATATACACACACAAAAGTGAACATTAACGCTAATACTCAGAGGTGACAAACTGTTTCATGCTAGACACAATCATCAGGCCACAGCTACAGGAAATTCCCAAAGTAGTATATTGAAATGGTACAGTGACATAAAATGCTCAATACCAAAATTCCAGAGTATTATATTTTATACTAATAAATTTCAGTGTACATATGATTGGCAGTTTTGTGCACATTATTACATGCAAACATCAGACAGTTGGTGTTAGTCTTTTTGAGATATGAACATTTATACTCCTTGGCTGACCCAAAATGTTACAATAAGTGTAGCTGGCAAATGCACATAATGCACACCAAAATCACTGTGGTGTTGAAATAGCCAAATAGTATATGATGGGATTACTACACATTACATTTATTCAAAGAAGGAAAAAGAAAAACATCCACAAAACACCAGAATAATAGATTTATCAATGTGCAATAAACAGTGCCCAACAGCATGGGAACAATTTAACCTTAGTAAAAGAGCATAATGCACAGAAAGTCCTTAACAATATCAGGTCCATAGTGTTCACATATCAAAACATACATATTTAATACACAAAAAAGCTATTCTTGAAGGAATATACTAAAATAGCACAGTGAGACAAAGTGCTCAATACCAAAATAGCAGAACATCATACTCATGAAGTCCTGTGTACATGTAATCACCCACAACTGCCACTTTTGTGCATGCTATTGTATCCAGTCAACAGGCTAGTCATATGTGCACTGGGCTTTATTAGTACAGCTTCTCCTCAGGTTCCGTTCCAATGACCATGTCTATAAATTAATTGGTTGATAAACAAGGAGCGATACTAATATTGCACATTTTCAACACCTTCAATAATGTGGCACCACTGCTGCTATTCCTATGACTCCAATAACATAATAAAGAAAATGTTTAAAAGAAACAAAAACTCAATAACTTTGTTTTAATTTGCATAATCTTTACATTTTGTTCAAAATAGGAAAATACAATGAGTGAACCAGATTATTTACCTTGTAATTTTTTAAAGTAAGAAAAACTCTCAACAGTTTTTTTTTGTTTGTTTTTTTTTTGTATTTCAGCTTTCACCTTATGTTTGTTGATGCTTCCTGGAAAAATTAAAAATACTATAAAAAACAATTAGAATATAACTGCTGATTAAGATGAAATTTATTAAGAAAGAGAGGCTGTTTATAACACACACACACATTTTTTTTTTTATAATAGTAACATTCTATGTACATTTATGAAATTTTAGGGTATTATTTTTATTTTTTACTAATTAATGTCTGTCATCCGCTAAAATTTGCTGTTTTATATTAGTAGTCTCTCTGATGCAAAGAGAAATAAGGTTATTTTTTAATCAAGTCAATGCTCTAAACAGGATGAAAAAATTTAATAAAATACTTAAGAAATACTTTGGTCTTTCATCTTAATAGTAACATAAACCATTTGATGATAAAATTTTGTTTTCATCTAGTTTAAGGCCATTTTTATCATGCTATACTCATTTTTCAGTGATTTTCATGAAGATACCTACTGTATCATATCATACATTACATTACTGGTGGTGTTTTGTAGGGCCTGTTGTAAGTCTGGGTGGTTGTTAAACATGTAAGTGAGGAGAGGCTGTATATAACACATGCACACACTTTTTTTTTTTAAGTAATTCTCCCCAAGCAAGGCAGGAGTGCCACTAGCATGCAAGGGGTTACAGAGGATTGAGAACAAGAGTAAAGAGATGTGTTTGAGGAAAGGATAAAGAGAAGGACGGGAAACAAGTTCAAGATATTTTTTATTAAAATTTAAATTATGTAACACCCATTCTCTACTCAGCATGAAACTGAGTTGCGCTACTGGCGAGAAAAAATGTATATTTATTAATATATAATTAATAGTTCTGTTATATTAGATTGAACCCTATTTTATTAACACCAACACTCAATGTGTTGTATATATATATATATATATATATATATATATATATATATATATATATATAAATTTCAGATAGAGTATATCTATAAAAAGACTATGAATAAGGGCAAAAACTTATCTTAGCGATATATTTTGTCCTCTTAGGGACTTTATGAAGGTAAACATGGAGATTTTATTTTTTAACAAGTATTTATATACTAGAGCAAAAATGTTATTAAATTTTTAGGTATGGGAATGCTCATATATTTACATCAGGTTAGATGAAAAGTTAGGCAAGTTATGGAGGACATGAAGTGACACAATTCAATGTCTGATAAATGAAAGTAAGTGATGGTTTTTTTTTTTTTTTTTTTTTTTTTTTTTTTAATATGCAAATTAGTATTTAAATTATTTTAGTTTGGGATTTGTGTTATATATTTTGAGTAACATGAGGTTATAGGTTTAACTATTTGGCTTGGGAAAGTAGTAATCCTTGTAGGAATGGGGATACTGAAAAAATTTAGTGTACAGATTTATTCTTTGATAAGATTTAATGGCAGCACTCTTGAGAATTTTCCTTCTAAGTAAGTTACTTTTGCTTTTAATAAGTGTGACATTCTTTAAATCAAAGTTGTGGTTGAATTTTATTTCCATGTGTAACTAATGCATTTGATAAACTGCTGTATATAAGATCTCTTTTGTGTTCATAGATGTTTGTTTTGTTTTTTTTACATTTCTGCAAGTTTCTCCAATGTATTGTGAAGAGCAGTTCTAACATTATTGAATCATAATATAAAGGACACAAGTCATTTTAAGTTAATTATTGCTGCAATTAATATGTTCTGAGTTTATTAATTTTTGCTTTGTTTCTCTTTGTACAGGTGTGAATGAGTTGCCTCTGTTTGATTTCTCCCTCTGGAAACTATTCCAACTAATGGACATCCGCAACATCCTCATGGTATTCCGCAGTATATTGTTAGAACATCAAGTCCTCTTTTACTCTTCAGGTAAGTGCTTAAAAATGCATCTTTTTCTTTTTCTTTCCTCCCTTCAGGATATGGGTCATTATGGCTCTCGACAACTTCCTATCCTTTGTAACTGTAAACAATGTTTACTTTACTATCCCTCCCAGCTAATGTTCTGTCATCATTAAATATGTTGTTTGATGTTTTACTTCTGTCCCTCTTGCCTTTGAGTGTCAAATTCTCCAAGCTCTCTTTCCTCATTATGCATCCCAGAACTGTTTCAACTGTTTCTTTCTGATCCTCAGCAAAAGTGTAATTCTCGTTCTTATTTTCCTTAAAACTTCCTTGTTGCTTGCATTTTCTGACCACATTATTCTCAGTATTCTTCAATAGAACAGCTTTCTCCTCTTCATCTGTGAGGAAATTGTCTAACATTTACTGTCATATAGGAAGATTGATATTAGATAGTAACTCAATAGACTTTTTGGTTTTCAACAAAATTTTCCTGTTTCTTGATATTTTGATTAGTTTCTGGAAATCATTTTTCAGTATTTCAATGCATCTTCTTAGTCCCTGTACTGCCATCCATTTATGCAAGCATGTCAATCTCTCTTGCTTTCAGTATAAAAATATTCCTGTAAGTGTAAAATTCTCCAACCTCTCTTTCATCTCCCCAATTTCACTCACAAGCCTTGGGTAAACTCATGGTATGGTTTTCAGATGCTTCTCAGTGGTGCCACATGCTGGAATCACCTCTCTGAAAAATTGACCATGGTGAAATCTAAATTTGGGTTTTGTGGTCATGATGCTAAAATTCTAACCACTCAGCCATATGCCATAGATATAAATATTGGCTGTGTATTTGGAATGGTTATGTGCAGAAGAAATACACTCACCTTCAAAAAGGCTGTGGATGGACACCTGATGATATTGGTTCCATGGTACAAAGAAGAATCAGGACAGGTTCATTCCATTGTTTATAACAGAAAAATGTTGATGGAATAACCTGGATGTGCTGCCTGTGGATTTGTATACCTGCCTTTGAATGCATATAAAGTCAGTAGCAGTGAACAAGAGGGTGTGAAAGAAGCCAACAGCTTGGAGTGTGGCTTAGTGACAGTTTGGCTTGATTTATGCTACAGGTCATTAGATCAATCTCTGAAGTCCATCTACTTTGTCTCTGTGGCAAAATCAAAAGCAACATCATAAGGATGAATTAAAAGAGAATTAAATGATATGTGATGTCATCTTGCATGGAAAGTACAATGAGATTGAATAAAAGGTTTGGTTTAGAGTACAAAAGTTTAAATGTGACTATCAGAATTATAAAAGAGGACATTGAAGACAATCATTAAATTCAATTTCTGAGATGAGGAATTATCATTATGCAAGGATTTATTCAAACCAATGTCCTCTTTCTTAATTGTAATAGAAAATAAAATGTTCTGTTCAAAAATTACCAGCAATGACAGGTGAGTTTACCAAGTGAAGACACAGACATGTTAGTCTGAATGATTCCTGTAATAAAGGAGTAGAATTTAATTTTTCTTTACTCTCTTTTATTTATTTTTTGAATCAGTTGGCATTACAAGTTTTGCTTTTTCACTCTTTTTGCTCTCAGACAGAATTTTTATTCATTTTTCTTTATAAATTTGGTTAAAAAATGTCACAATTTTCCCCTTCTGGGGTTGCTACATATTATTGGTGTGTGACGTCATTTGAGTGAAATATCTTGTCACTTGCTCCAGGACAACGATTGCTTTCAGTCTTCATCACCATCTGTAAATTATCTTGAATTACTATTTGATTCATCGTCAAAGTAAAAAGATCCAGGACAAAGAAATATCTCTATATATCTTGTCAGATACTGCAAGATAGCAAAGTTTATATTGGATAGCACACCACACTGTAATGGTTAAACAAAGATTATGTCAGTTTACATTTATTGAGGAACAATTTGTTTTTACTTGTGTGTTTGTGTGTAAAACGCACAGACACACACAAGTATATAAAGTAATGCAAATTTTGTATATTTTCTATTTAAAAAGGCACTGATATTCAGAGATCTTACTTGGTTACTTATTTTAGTGTATTATTTTACTTATAATTATTTTTACATGACACAATCAATAGTCAGTACATTATTTAAACAAATTATTTGTAAATAATTGACAGTACCTTTTTATAGCCATTTGTCATATTATTGGCAACTAAGATTGTTTCAGTTTTTACATTTATATAAGTAGCAAAATAATCATTTTAAGTAACATGGTTCATCAAAATAAGTGCTGCATAATTTGTGGTGTTTTTAAAAAAAGATTTCTTCATTATTTTTACAATCCTTTTTGACAAGTGATTTTTCAAGTAATTATCCATATTGTGTTTTCTGCATTCTGTTAAATTTTATTTGCTCTAGGGAAGATGATTGACAAATGCGTAAGTATTCCCATGCATTAAAAGATAATTGTAAAAGTACTTAAAAAGACATAATTCATTTAACAGATGTGTCTTCTATGAGTGCTACTTGTACTGAAAGAGACAAAACAATTCAGAACTATTTAGATTTTAAAATTAGATCTTGTAGATATTTATTACTGACTTTTCTCATACTAAATTTCATAATACAAGGCTTTAGAGCCATTCAAAGAAGAGGGTTACTGTTAAAATAGTAATAATGAATGAAGTGTTGGATATAAATGAAAGCAGACGTGTTAAGAAGTGAAGATCATGAGGATAAGGAGGATTGATAATGATTGACCCTTGACTTGAAGCGGTTAAGATTGTAGTTTTCTGGGAAGCATCCATGTGGAAGTCTGTTTCACAAAGTAGCAATTGCTGGGAAAAGCTGTCTAAATAAAAACTTTCTCCTTACCTTAAGAATATAGGCAGTTGTAAAGGCCTGAACTGGTAAAACTAAAGAATGAAGCTCATCTGAACATTTGCCATGGAAATAGCAATAGTGTAACGATAGACTTGTGACATGTCTGTGGGAAAGATTGAAAAGAGGACAAGTCTTCCTCCACAAGACCAGGTAAATAATTTTGACATCTATCAATGCTAATCTGATTCTTGTAAAGATAAAAACTTTCAATATTATTTATATATTGAAATATTGAATAACTGAATACTAATGACAAATCATTGGGAATGTTTTCTCTGTTCTCCTATATTCAACAAATATATATATATATATATATATATATATATATTTTGATATCGTAATTAAAACATGCTCTTGGTTCTAAAAAAAACTCAGTTATTTGGTCAAGATCGCTTCTCTTTTCTAAAAAGCAGTCTGATATAAAAATTAATGGCACATAAAAAAAAGGTTGTTTCTGCATGAGATAAAAATCCTCTTTTCAGATGATGCTTAAGTTTGAAAAGATATTTTCTATGAATTCATATTCAAACACGTTTTCTCAATGCCCTGTTATTGTTGATATTCTATTAAACTATTTTTACGAGCAAGCAAAACTGCAAAGGGAAATTATGTCACAATAAAAAATTGCCGAAAAGTCAAAATATTAGGAAAAAAATACATTTAAATCATAATAATAAACTAAGTCATATTTATAATACTTTTTAACTGATAATGCATCTTGTACACACTAGCAACATAATTTATTTATCATTACATATATGCAACAAAAATCATTTTATTCAATAATTTTAAACAAAGCAAATTTAATAGAACAGATATATCTGTCATTCATTAGCAATAATAAATCTGTATGGCATTACATATCCTTTAAAATATAAATGCATTCATCATTACTATTTTAAAAGTAACCCTCTACATTGAGTGGCTCTCGAGTCTTGTATTGGGTGAACTTTAGTATGAAAAGAGATAGTAATAAACATCTACAAGATCTAAATTTAAAATCTTTCAGTATCAAAAGTGACAATCTTAGAAGGAATGTGTTTCTGTATGTTGCATGACCAGGGTTACTTTTTCTTTTTAGGTTAGGATGATGTCTCCCTATAATTGATGAAACATACCAGTAATAGTGTGTATTACTGTATACTTATATCTCTGTATCTATATGAAACATATAAAAACACACACATGCACACACACATTTTATATAATGCACTGATTTGTGAAAATCATGAAGGAGAATTTAAAATTGTTTTTGACATTTTAGTTGACATGTGAGAGCACAATAAAGTTTTGAGGAATAAGTTTTTAGTAACTCCTGCAGATTTTATCAATATTTGATACTGAATTGTCTTTTTTTTTTTTATCTGGGTTAAATTTCAAATCCAGCAGATGTTAATGACTTTGGTGCAAGAATCAGCAATCCTTTGGTTTTGGCATCTGATAGAGATATTTATTGCCTCTTCCTCATTTTCTTTCCACATACAAGTCTGCCTCTCAATCCATTTGGATGTCACCAACTATAAGTGGGGAGATTGATAGCTGAAAACCACTTCGTCTTCTCAGAGTGTATATGTGAGAATATACGAGAATATAAAATGAAGAGTATCAGCTAAAAAGGGTATAGAAGAGGATCACCAGCTATATATATATATATATATATATATATATATATATATATATATATATATATATATATATATATATATTTCTACAATAATATTTATTAGTTTGATGTTTGTAATTTTTTTTTAAGATGAGTGAAGTTTTTAAATGAAAATATTAAAAATACAAATCAAGCATTTAACAAATTCTCTTTATCAGTAATGCAAAGTTTATTTAAAATAAAGATATCCGGATACATTCTGATAAAATTTCTTTGATAGGAAAAAATATTGCTTCAGCCATAACGAAAGCCATTCTGGATACTGAACTGTCAGAGAATGAGTCTGACAGGCAACATCTACATACATCAATGATATATACATTGATGAAAGCATAATCTCTGCTGACCATGTAAAACAACACTTGGTTAACTTTGGAATGACTTGCAAGGTTCCAAAGTGGTTATATTTTAGGCTTCCAAGTGAAGGGGAAGTACAATTCCTTTATTTGAAAACATGGTAATGATATTCCTGAGGTCATGATGTGACACAATGCCTTC